TCCTTCACCGTAAAGACCGCCGGACCCACGGAGGTGCGGCGCAGGAACTCCAAGTGCATGTTGACGGGGTGTGGCTCGGAGCGAGAACCATGGGTCAGAGACATGTGGGTGCGGGCAACCATGAGAAAGGCCGAAGTCGTATAGCCGCCATTGGGGACTGAAGGTCGTCATCAGTGAGTGTAAACACGGGCGAGGATATCGTGCTGCCTACCAGTCCCTATGCACCATTCGTTCTCCAAAGTGAGGGTATATTGGTGCGACGAGAGTTGCTTGATAGGGAGCACATCTGCGAATGTTGGGGGCGCCATGGCTGGCGTGCCCAGGTTCTAGAGAAGAGGAGGGAAATATGTTCCAAGTCGACGTCAGCCGCAACTACATGTTGCGATTTAATATAATGGCGACACGGTAATAAAGGTATCTATCTGGGAAGAAAACTAAAAGAGAGGTCTTACCGGGCGATGAACCTCGGCTTGGATTACCGAGAGACCGCATTGATTCATTATTGGTGATTGCGACTCGCTGATTATTAGCCACGCCTGGAGCCCTTGAGCGAGTAGAAGGCATTTGGCCTAGCAAGCCTAGGAACGTCCCGAGCACCCCTAAACATCCCCCTCTTTCAAGTGTGGTGGCTCGAAATAGGCGGGTAAATGTTACATCACGCCGCTAATCTGTGGCGGTGCAGAACCCCCCAACCTGCACCATGACGAGGTCTGCTTGTTACCGCAATAAAGTGGGATTTTGAGTGGAGTGACAAGACAAGATTGGAATATCGAGCGTTTCCTTTCTGCCTTGGTATCGCCATCACCGTCACCCAGCACACATCTGTGTATCCCGTATAACAATCTCCATGCACCACCCTCTTCTTCGCCGCCTACCTCCGTGTCCAGTATGAGGGAGGAAGCGAAATCACGACGACCGCCATGACACTCTCCAATCGTCCCAGGAGACTGCGCCCAGTCCGCCAACAAGGTCGTGCCTTCTATCTGACGGCCCTGGTCATCACCCTCTTTACTTGTTATAGCTTCATACGAGACCGGAATTATGGCCACCTTTCTCAGACGAAGAAGTTCGACACTCGCGCTCTCGCACCACGCGATCTCGAGGTAACCACCGCATTGACTGCGCTCTCAGTTATCCCAAACGAGCTCCCTGGCTGACTCTTGATCGAATTCCTAGTGTCGATTTGTCCACACTTCCAAAGACCAATGTACTTTTGTCAAGGAAAATTGTCCCGACGAAGAAGCCGGACTCATCTCCTACCTCCAGCTCTACTACTGCTCGCTCGCCGACGCCCAGCCTTTCGCATTTCTGCTCCTCGTCGTCTGGGTATGTCTCCTCTTCAGCACGATCGGCATCGCAGCCTCCGATTTCCTCTGTATCAACCTGAGTACGATTGCGAACATACTGGGGATGAGCGAGAGTTTGACCGGGGTCACTTTTCTGGCCTTTGGAAACGGCAGTCCCGACGTCTTTTCCACTTTCGCCGCTATGCGCAGTAACAGTGGCAGCTTAGCAGTGGGGGAGTTGGTGGGCGCGGCCAGCTTCATCACTGCTGTGGTAGCGGGGAGTATGGCCTTGGTTGCGCCGTTTCAAGTCGCCAAGAGGAGTTTTATTCGCGACGTTGGATTCTTCGCAGTCTCGGCGAGTTTCAGTCTGGTATTCCTTGCGGATGGGAGCCTGCGATTCTGGGAGTCCATCACCATGATCGCATATTACGTGTTCTATGTGTTTTTTGTGGTCGGCTGGCACTGGTGGCTGTCCCGACGACGGAAGAGGAAGCTTGCCGAGACTGCGGCGAGACTGCATCACCACATTCCGGAATCACAGGAGTTGGAGGTGCCCGAAATCGAGGAGGACGAAGAAGCACGCCCTGCTACGGAACGAACTGGCCTCTTGCGCGAGCAGTCGAGCGAAACTATCCCAACCTTACGGACACCAGGAACCCCAGCCTGGAAAGTTGACGATCTCGATGATGACGACGAAACGCGAGACCGGTATCTTGCTGAATTGCAAAGCAGGATGAGGGTGGGCCGACCAGCACGAGGCGAACGAAGGAATACAATGACCCCGATTCGGCCGAGCTTGATAGGGGCGCTAGAATTCCGATCACTTATGACTTCGTTAGAGAAGAAAGCCACCCATTCCCAACCTATTGGCCTTCGGAGATACTCTGACGACGCATCAGCCTCCCATTCTCCCATTCCCATCAGTGCGCCACCCGGCGCTTCTCAACCCAATCTGGTCAGCACACATTATACGGATTTGGAGGGCGAGAGTCCACGTCGTGCACGAGCCGTGTCTGCAAATGATGCCACTCATCTGCGTATCGATACGGACTTCCTAAGCGACAGACATTCTGAGAGAAGCTCAGAAAGTGTCCTCACCAGTGGTGATTCTGATTCAAATGCTCCTGCTGCAAAACACTCGAGGGCGAGCGCCCACATTCTGAGAACACTGAACGACCCATCATCTCAAAGACCCCCTTCACCGAAACTCATTGTGTCCACGTCAGGTGCCAAAGTTCCAGAGACAGGCTCCCTCTCCGCGGAGCGTCCCAGGTCGCCCAATCTCTTGGCACCGCCGACGACGACCTTCCACCGACCGGACTACCAGGAAGAACATCATTCTCCCAGTCGAAGTCCGCTGCTGTCGCCCGGCTCCGGACCGACACTGCAAGTGCCCATTCTGCATACGCCACATCCCGACCACTCCAAGGGAGTTCTGCGTCACGAGGATTTTCCGCCATACGTGGATTCTCCAATGCTCCTGACCCCGATGTCCTCCCGGCCTCCAAGTATTCACCTACCGGCACCCAGTATGTCGCCGCAGTCAACTCACCATCTGGGGCTTCTGCCGGACGAGGAGGAGCCGCCGATGCGGAGATTCTCATGGTGGCCGTACCGATACCTTCCTGCTCCTCAGGTTATCTGCGCGGCATTGTTTCCCACTATTTATGGGTGGCGGGAGAAGTCGTACACGGACAAGGTACTGGGGGTGGTGACTGCACCCAGCGTCTTTCTGCTGGCTATTACACTTCCAGTTGTCGAGCCCAGGGAGGAAAAGCCGGTGGTCACGGATCCCGAACTCCTGACCCCAGCGGAGGGCATCCGGCGCAGGTCGGCCAGCTACCTTGAAACCACACATGACGTGCCAGGTCTAGATATGGTGTCGCCATCATCTGACGGACCGCCTCATCCGCACCGCACGGGAATCTCCCGACAAATGTCGGAGCATGCCAAAAGTCCTCAATCAAAGGTGGACGAGTTAGGTGGACCCAAGGACTGGAACAGGTGGCTGGTGTTCCTCCAAGTATTTACAGCACCATTCTTTGTCGTGACTATCGCCTGGGCAAACATGGATGATGGCCTGAGCATGAGACTTTATATTCGCATGGTATTGGGGTCACTGGTGTTTTCGCTCGTGGCGCTTCTTATCCTCCTTTCACTAACAACGCCTGATCGCGAACCAAAATATCGGCCACTACTTTGCTTCTTGGGGTTTGCTGTGGCCATAGGATGGATTTCCACCATTGCCAATGAGGTGGTTGGCGTCCTCAAAGCCTTTGGGGTGATTCTGGGCATATCGGACGCCATATTGGGTTTGACGATATTTGCTGTTGGCAACTCGTGCGGTGACCTGGTGGCGGATATCACGGTGGCCAAACTCGGATACCCCGTCATGGCACTGTCGGCGTGCTTTGGTGGACCTATGCTGAATATTTTGCTGGGGATCGGCATTGGAGGCATGTACATGAGCATCACTCAGGCATCTCACAAGCACGCCAAACATCCTCACAAACCGATCAAATACAAACCCTACGAAATCGACGTGAGCACGACGTTGATGATATCGGGAATCACGCTGCTCGTGACGTTGGTGGGGTTGCTCATCGTGGTGCCATTGAACGGATGGAGGATGGATCGCAAGATTGGACTTGGATTAATCTTGCTGTGGTCAGTGTCGACGGTGGGCAATGTGATTGTGGAACTGCTTGGATATGGGGGAGACACGGTAATGTCAGGCATGGGACGATGACGTGGATATACCCCGAGATGGATGGATTGGATCTCGCTGGGCGTTCAATGACCGCAACATAAAACATGGGGATTCCGTCCCAGTACATATACTACTTACTATATTCTTCATCCGGTCTACCTTTATGCGACGTGAGGCACTCCTCGTCGGGTTCGGAAGCTTCTAACGAATACCGACGGAGGTCTCTTTCAATCTCAACAAGATATGGTTATCTGGAGCTTGGGAAATGTCGGAGCCGTCCCTTTGGCTCTCTACGCACGTTAAATTGGTCTGGCTGCCCGAGCCTCGAAATCCCTCCGAAAATCCGCTCTCGATTGGGCTCGTCCGAGTCCGATACGGATCCGGTGTTTGGAGGTGCTTTTGTACTGTGGGTACATGGCTATTGCGAATGTCTCTGATTGGTGCTTCTTTAGCGAACCTCGGCATGTTGCAGCGGCCAATATCGGCCACTGTCGCATCACAGCGGAAAGACGATGAGGCGAGATGACGACGAGCAGCGCAAGTTAGTACGTGCGAGCACCACGGCCAACTCAGCAAAACGGCGACGCCACCGAGGCGTCCATCTCTCGTATTTGTGATTATTATTCGGTCAATGACGGACTTGGATCGGACATTTTTCCCTTTTTTACCCCAGATTTTACCTTTTACCAAGACTCTTCGTGTTAGATATACATACATCTGCACCTATAATATCTCTTGGGGTTCGTTTTCTCCCCAAGATCCTCCTCCCCTTGATTATTTGGTCTTTTAGCATACGAGCCCGCCCTTTCCTCCATATAGTCTCTGCGTTTGACCGAGGGTGACTTGACCTGACCAAGCCAACAAGCAAGGCAGCGTCGCACGGCGGAGAAGCTCGAGCCCCATCCCCATAAGGCCCGCCATCGCTAGAGAAACGGACATATCCATCCTTTCTGTTTGACTGCTACGACCCAGAATTTGGATACACACAAAAAGGATTTGAGAGGATGCCTATCAAGTCGGACTTTCCGGACATCGACCTCCAGGTCACTGACGTCTGGTCGCTTTTGTTCAAAAGAAAAGACCGAGAGTTCCCTGATGATCATGGTGAGTGGGCTTTTGCTAGGGTTTTCTGCAGTATGGAAGAGGGTGGTCTGGTCTGAGTCCTCGATGGTTCTTGAGATGAGGAGAAGGAGCGGGAGAGGTGGAAGCGGTGAATCGCCCAGGTTCCCGGGAGAATGTCTCTTTGGTGCATCGAGCAGGATGACGAGGGTGCTTTGTACCAACGACTATCAAAGCATATCACAAGATACCGTCACTGACCTTGGCCCCCTTGACCAGTCATATTCCAATCTGCCGACTCCCTCTCCAGACAATACACCTATGCCTCGCTGCGACAATCTAGCATCGACTTTGGCAAGGGCCTCAAATCCAACTTCAACTTCCGCAAGTCCGACGTCCTGGGTCTCTTCGTGCCCAACGACATCGATGTCCCGCCCGTCGTCTTGGGAACCCTCTGGGCGGGTGGCATCGTCTCCCCCGCGAACCCGGGCTACACGGTCGCCGAACTGGTCTACCAACTGAAAGACTCGGGCGCAAAGGTCCTGTGCACGCACGTGTCCGTGCTTGATACGGCGCGTAAGGCAGCTCGCGAGGCTGGCATCCCAGAGAGCCACATCATCTTGCTCGGCGAGCAGAGCGATCCCTCTCGAAAGTTGAAGCACTGGACGCTCGTCCGCAACCTGGAGGGCACGGCGCGGTACCGCACCCCCAAACTGGACCCGAAATCCGACCTCGCCTTCCTGGTGTACTCGTCCGGCACGACGGGTCGGCCCAAGGGTGTGCGACTGACGCATTTCAACATGACCAGCAACATCGAACAGATCCACCGGGCCGAGGGGTGGCTGACGTGGAATGGATCCAAAACGCCCCCGGGCAGCGACATTCCGCTCCCGCCCAAGGGCCAGGGCGACAAGATCCTGGCGTGTCTACCGTTTTTCCACATCTACGGGCTCAACTGTCTGGTATTGTCACCCATCTTCAGCGGCGTCCACACGCTGGTCATGGCGCGGTTCGATCTGGAAAAATGGTGCGCGCTGGTGCAGGACCACAAGGTGACATTCAGCTACATCGTGCCGCCGATCGTGCTGCTCCTGTGCAAGAGCCCCGTGGTGGAAAAGTACGACCTCTCGTCGCTGCGCATGACCAACTCGGGCGCGGCGCCGCTGACGCGCGAGCTCGTCGAGAACCTCTACAAGCGCAAAGGCGTGCGCGTCAAGCAGGGGTACGGTCTCAGCGAGACGTCCCCCACCATCTTCGTCCAGCGCTGGGAGGACTGGTGGTCCGCCGTCGGCACCACGGGCGTCATGGTGCCGAACCTCGAGGCCAAGTTCTGCGCCGTGCCCGGCTCCGGCGAGGAATCTGACGGCTCCAAGGAACTGCCGCGAGGAAAAGTCGGCGAGCTGTACGTCAAGGGGCCCAACATCTTTGGCGGATACCACAATAACCCCAACGCCACGGCCGAGTGTCTCGAGGACGGATGGTTTCGGACCGGCGACGTGGGTTTCTTGGATGAGAGGGGGAACTTGACCATCACGGACCGCGTCAAGGAGTTGATCAAATATAAAGGTATGTCTGTCCATATCACCCTTGCCCCCTTTTGTCCCCTACCTGCTTTTTTTTCGGCCTTGCCTCTTTTTCCCTCCTGCTTTGGCTTCTTCCGTTCCCGGGCGTGCATTGACAACTAACGGTCCCCGCGCATGAAAGGCTTCCAAGTCCCCCCCGCCGAACTCGAGGGGTACCTCGCATCCCACCCACTCATCGACGACGTGGCCGTCGTGGGCGTCGACTCGCAGATCCTCGGCACCGAAGTTCCCCGCGCGTACATTGTCCCCAAGGACCGGAGTCTCGTTTCTTCTTCTTCGTCCTCGTCACAAAAAGCAGCCGCCGCAGCCGCAGAGATTACATCGTGGATGAACGCCAAAGTGGCCAACCACAAGAAACTGCGCGGCGGGGTCAAGTTCGTCGAAGCCGTGCCCAAGAGCGTCAGCGGGAAGATTTTGCGGAGGGTCTTGAAGGAGCGGGCGAAGAAGGAGTTCCAGGAGGAGGAGGAGGAGCAGGAAGAGAGGAAGAAGGTAAGGGCGAAGTTGTGATTTGGTTTTTTTTTTTTTTTGGTTTTTTTCTCTTCAAACAAAGACGACATGTCAGGAAAAGGAGGGGGGAGGAGATGAGAGATATGATAGGTAGACAGACAGACAGAAGGCCACGGAGATAGATGGACAGATGGACAGATAGATTGATGCTCACTGACCGGATGTATGTATGGATATCTGGTTGACTGGTTATGTGGATTTGATGCATGGATACCCCCAATGGCTTGATCTGATCCGATGAGTTCCTGTGTCACACGTCCATGTCCATACAAGAACGATACCCGAGTTTTGGGTACTCTGTGTTTCTACGGTAAAATGTATTTGGAACTGGAGTGATTAGAACGAATGGGACATGATGCATCACCCAGTACTGCAAATACCTACCTAGGTACGAAAATGTTTTTGCGACTGACTGTTCTTGCGCCGGGTATCTTCTGTGGTGGAGCTACCTAGAATAACATGTACTATATGTACACGAAGTATCGACCGTAAGGAGGACCGGAAAGCTGAAAAAGTCGCCTGTTCATTCATTCATTGATTCATCCATCCTTTCATCCAGGCAGTGAGACAGAGAGACAGAGAGACAGACATCACACACCACACAGACAGAAAGAATAGAATCGTTCTTGGCACACACTGTTCAATTGACCATGTATGTCTCTTCTCCTTTTGTTCTCCCACCTCCTATCCACCAGGGTCTGAATCCTTCAAGAGACTCAGGTTGAGCCCCGAACCAGGAGAACAATCCACTCCCAAGCCAATACCTCACCCACAGGAGCAACTCGCATTGTTTCGGGGAATCAATCCCCTGAAGCCCGGGTAAAGTCTTCTCCAGCTCAGCTTCAGGCACAAATCCCAACACCACAGAGCAAACTGCCATTGGTGGTCGTAGTTTCTGCAGATCCATGCATGCCCTCTAGCTCCTGTAAAACAGAATCCGTGCTTCAAGTCTTGAAATCATTGTCAGCCACGAAACCTTCAGAGGCGCCACCCTACCATCTTTGGCAGTCGATTGAGTGATGATCTGCACGGACTTTAGCAAGAAACTCTCCTGAAGCCCGTAGCAGCCGTTATATCGACTAGAGAGTCACACCGTCCATCTTTCGTATTTCTCCTTGTCCTTGAACTGTGGATGGATCATTGGTAAAAAAGAATCTCTACTCCTGTCAGTACGTGCGTAGTTTGAAGGATTCTCAGAATCAAGACAGCCATCAACAAATCCCAACCAGGACGCCTGATCGCGGCATCGGCCATTTGGTCCCGCGGCGCAAAGTCCATCGAGCTGACGGTCCACCTAGGAGAGGACACAGTGATAGTTCGTGATAGATTGGCGATCGACTGTGATCAGTTGGGCAGATCGCAGCGTTCGTTCCAGGAGGAAGCCAATGGAATGGACGATTCAGCAAACAGCGAGCTGCAATGCATTGCTAAGCGTGCAGCAGTGCCTTGTTTGATTTCTCTGACGAGGCATCAATCTATGCCGATCTTGCCGCCAACGTTACTGGACATTGTAGGAGGTGGGCTCCTCTCGGGATTTGTTCTCCTGCATCCGCGCCCAAAGATATTGCGTGCGTGGGCTGCCAAACCCGCCAGAAGATCTTCTCAGACAGAGGGTCGGGGAGATCCAAGCCCGGCCGTGGGAATCGGTCTGTCGATCATAGTATAAGGGACAGCACGGTGGATACCGCATCCCCCAAAGGTTCGTCCGTTTTGCGCAACACAACGAGGACGTGCTTGATGCTTCGAGAGATGGGATTTTTCCAGCAGAGCAATGGTTGGCTTGGCCGCTCCGACTACCGGAAAAGACATTTGATACAACGCACCCATGGACCTGCAATGCAGCACAAGTGGTGTGACAGTGACGAGGGGAAACTTGCAGACGCAAGTCGCAGGTAGCTTGGAGGTCGGAGGACCCGGTGTCTGACTCCGGCGCCTCCCAAGCCATGATGGACAGTTTAGGCGCATGCCACGCCCCCCGAGATTTCGATCCCCGTCGCTTGTTTGGGGGCTACGCAACCTTGCGACACCCCCTGGGTGGCTCCGTTGCTGGCCCCTAAGGCACGCCAATGCAGGTCCTTAGTGGGGTTTGAGGCGCGGCTAGTTGCTTCCCTGGGCCGCTCCCGCAGTCCAGCAGCTCCAAGTTACTTACTCGTCCCAAGCCCCTCCAACCCTCGACTAGACTTGGGTTGTCGCATTTTCTCAAACCATTTCTGCTTCGAGCCCTTTCTTGTCACCGAGTTCACATGTCGCAGCTCCGTCCTTCCTGTCCTTCTCTATCCTCCCGCACCTCTGGAGACGGACCGCTGTGAGATGGAAACCCCCGAATCTTGATCTTCACCGGAAAAAAACTTGCTCTCATTCGCACCCACCGAGCTCCCAACCTCGATCGCTCGCTTACCCTTATCTCTAGCGTGTCGACTCCACGAGTTGCTTCACTCGAAAAGATGGCCTCGAGATCGATATCTACCGACAAGTCCCGAACTTACAGCACCTCCAACTCGTTCAGCTTGACCGTGCTCATCTCTGGCTCAGGGACGAACCTCCAAGCTCTGATTGACGCTTGCGGCCAAGCTCCTCCTTCCAAAGACAAACCAGCTCCTCGACGGCTTCTCCCCAATGCTGAAATCTCACATGTCATCTGCAATCGTCGTGAAGCCAAAGGCATTGCTCGCGCCCAAGATGCTCACATTCCGGTGACATACCACAACCTGCTCGCGTACAAGAAGAAATTCCCGGACACGGAGGCCGGGGTCACTGCTGCTCGAAACCAGTACGACACCGACCTAGCCCAGAAGATCCTCACGCACATCCCTTGTCCAGACCTGGTGGTCTGTGCAGGCTTTATGCACATCCTGTCTCCGGTGTTCATCAACGCTCTAGCCTCCGCCAATGTGCCCATTATCAACCTCCATCCAGCATTGCCAGGCCAGTTCGACGGGGCAAATGCCATCGGACGTGCTTATGAGGCGTTTCAAAGAGGAGAAATCTCGAATACTGGCGTCATGGTCCACTACGTGACTGCTGAGGTAGATCGCGGGGCACCTGTCCTGGTCCGGGAAGTCGAGATCAAGCCTGGGGAGTCGCAGAGCGACCTGGAAGAGAGAATACATGAAACAGAATGGAAGCTGATTGTCGATGCTACAAGTCGGGTTTTGGCAGATTTGGAGGAGAAGCGCAGGCAGGAGAGTTGAGGTTGCTTGGTCTGAGGTCATTTTGGGGTACCGGCGATGAATGTCACAGGACTTATGCGACAGCGCAAGAAGGGGGCGAAGTGGTGGCCCAGGGTGGCAGGAAACGGTCGGTTCTTCGGGCCTAGCGAGGTGTTTGGGAGGCTTCTTCTTTGGACAAGTACAAGTCAAGCAACACGGAGTTGAGGTCTGGACTTCTGAAGCGGTGTTGACCCTCCACCCTCTGATTTTGCCCGACTACTAGCCAGATGGTCTTTCTCTGCAATGGTTGCCGGCAAAGGGACCAGGAGACACACGCGTTTCAGGTTTGGGCCCGACACAGCAAGTTTGACGGAAGTTTTTGATGAATGGAACAAAAGTTGGTACGCAGATTTCCGACGAGATGGTGAATGGCTCTCTCTTTCTCCTAGCTCTCTTAGATGGTCTTTTGCTATGATAGCAAATCACAGTGAAAATCTCCCAGCACCCAGTATCTGTTCGCACTTATAGAATGTTATATCCGCCCTGCAGTCTCCCTTTCCCTTGTCAGCTTCACTCGGGACAAGGAACGGGGCCGATTTGATCGGGATCGGCCGTGATTGAGCATTAAAGAGGCCTGGCTGAGCACATCCCACACATGTACGAATAGTCAGATCCGAGTAGTACTACGTCATTGATTCAGGATCACCATGAGACGTTGAGGGATACATAGCTATCCACCGAGCCACTACCTTGGTACCTAGTACCATCGAGCCATATATATATAGAGTGGCGATGAACCCTCCTTCCGACCCTTTTTTCTTTCAGCCAATCATCCTACAACGCCATGACCGACCCCAATGAATTAAACGCTTGACCAGACAAGACGACACAACGAGGGGTCGGCAATCCTGAATTCGGACATACCGAGCTTGTGACGCTCGTCGAGTTCCTCGGGCCCAGCGATGGGGAATGCGTATACTTGGAGAAAGGGGATAGTAGGCGATCAACATGGACCCGATCGGCCTCTACAGGAGACACTCGTCCACTTAGCAAGCAAGGCAGGCAAGCAGGTAAGCAGGCAGGCATCATGGCAAATGCAGACGAACAGATCCTGGTCACGGGCGCAACGGGGGTGGTGGGACGCTCGGCCATGCAGTACTACGGTGAGCGGGGGTACAAGGTGATTGCCGTGTCTCGACGACGGCCGCTGAACACGTACGGGGCATCGTGGCACTCGCTGGACCTGTCGGACGAAGCGGCGTGCAAAGCGCTACTGTCGCCGTTGACGGGGATCGCGCAGATCGTCTTCGCGGCGTTGCACGAGGAACCCAACCTGGTGGCAGGGTGGCAGGAGAAGCAGCACGTCGACCGCAACGCGCTCATGCTGCGCAACACGGTCGAGGCCGTCGCTCCCTACGCCAGGAACCTCCGCAACGTGACGATCCTGCAGGGCCCCAAGGCGTACGGGGTGCACGTGCACCCGATCCGCCACGGGGCGCGTGAGGACCGCGACGAGGACCGCTCCATCCAAAACTTCTACTGGGCCCAGGAGGACTACCTCAAGGCGCGACAGCGGGGCCAGCCGTGGAGCTGGAACATCCTCCGCCCGTCGCTCATCATCGGCCTGAGCATCGGCGGCGCCATGAACCTCTACGCCACCATCGGCGTCTATGCCGCCGTGCTCAAGGAGCGCGGCGAACCCCTCTACTTCCCGGGCCAGGGCCAGGGCGTGTTCGAATCGACCGACGCCGACCTGATCGCCGAGGCGTGCGAATACATCCTCCTCCACAACGACACCACACAGAACCAGACCTACAACCTCACCAACGGCGAGAGCTCCTCCCTGCGCGAAGACTGGCCCCTGATCGCCCACTCGCTCGGCATGCAGCCCGGTCCGGACAGACCGTTCGCCTTTGCGCGCGACCTCCCCTCCTTCAGCGCCGACTGGGACCTCATCCGGGAGAAGTACTCGCTCAAAGCCCCGCCCTTGGACGAGTTCCTCGGCCAGAGCGCGCAGTTTGCCGACTTTGTCTTTGCAAAGGGCGCGACGGACCCGAGTTTTATGAGTTGCATCAAGATCCGGAGGGCGGGGTTCGCGGGGACCGTCTACACGGACGATATGATTCGCAAGTGGTTTCGGTTGTATCAGGACGAGGGGTTGTTGCCGGCTGTGTCTGCTTGAGATGTACTGTGTCGTGGAGAGAAGAGGGAAGTATAGGAAGCGGAAGAGGGAGTGGAACTGGGAAATGGAATACATCGTAGGTCGAGGTGGAGATGGAGGTGGGCTATCTATTTCTTACTGCATGTCATGTATGATATGTACCGTGTAGATAGGTAGTTAGGTCAACAGCACACACCCAACTCGAGACTCGCAAATGCTCCATCGGTCGAATACTACCGACTCGCCTCCCTCGTGGGATGGAGGTTAACCGCTATAGGTATCTACTGTATGTGTACGGGACGGGGCTGGAAAAAATTAGGAGCAATATAATATCAAAACCACCCATCACCACTGCTGAAAAAGGGGGTAGAAAGCTAATGACGACTTTTGCCTCAGGACAGAGATCGTCAAGAATAAAACACCAAAAGGGGTATCGCATCGCATCGCATCGCATAGCATGGCGTCACAAACACTAGATAGACATACACCCTGTCCTGTCCTGACAAGATTATACCACGAGGGACTGAATACATAAATGTCCCTACACCCGAAGATGAGTGGTTGGTAGTTGAGTAGTTCAAAACACACGGCCCGTGCTCCCATATTCCCTTCATACCACTCACTCTGAGCGATGAGAACATGCCCAAGTGATCAGACAGACCTGGACCCAGACTCAGACCGGGCCAGATCCAGCCGGTTATTCGCTCGCCCGCTCGCTCAAATCCTCCCAAAAGGTCCAACACAAAACACAAGCACAAATATACAGAACACCGTCTTTCGCCCCCTGAAAGCCGACATGGTCATGACTGTAACCTCAACAGTGCCGCGTTACTGCTTCTCCCTACTTCTCGGTCCCAGCAGCGGCCGGCTCGTTTGCAGGTACATCCTTCTCTTTACCTTTTTCTGCATCGATCCCGGTACCAGAATGATAATGCTCACCGTCGTTGCCGTCGCCGTGATGCTCGTCCCGACCTCCGCCCATAAACTTGTGCATCTCCCGCTTGTATCGGCTCTCGTGGATCTGCTCATCATCGTCCGCAGCAATCCGGGTGGCGAGATCCTCTTCATCGCTCGAGCTCAGACTGCTCAAGCTCATATTCTGCAGGTACATGACCTGCTTGCCACCACGGGATTGCTTCTTCTTCTCCCGCTGCTCGGATTTCAGCTTCTGTTGCAGCTCCGCATCGGCCTGGCAGTCGAGCGTTCGAACTTTGAGACCAGGGAAATTTTCCGTGAGGTAGCTGCGAAGAAGGGGGAGTTTCGCCGCATTGGGCCGATACGTCCCGGAATCATTGTCAATGACGAGTTCGTAATGCCACGGTTCCCTGCTCTCAGAGGCAGCTGTGCCATTTGTCAGAGGCTGTGCGTCATGGGCTTGACTGGAGCTACCTCCGCCACTGCTGCTGCTCGTGCCGATGTTGTCTCTTTCTTCTTCCGGTGGCGTTGCTGGAGGGTGTGTCTCGTCACTCGGATGGACGTTGTCGTCGTTCCGGTGTGCCTTTGCATGTTTGATTCTGCGAATGAAAAACTCGCCACTGAATGCGATGTAGATGCTCACGTCGCTATGCATGGTGTGTTTACTGAGCAGATCGATCCCAAATTCCTTGCCCGTTTCTGTGAACCGGAGCTGCCCATCCAACGTCAAGACATAGGTAAAAATGCGTCCCCCCTCGTCATAATTTACCATCTCGAGGAACAGCTTCGTCATCTCGGGGCAGGGCTCTTGGAAGACACCATACTTCGTAGTTTTATCGTAGTTGTAGATACGAGCATGTTGATGGTGCAACGCGCGATTGAGCAGGCGACCGCGAATAGTATGGGCCGTAAACATGCCGGCCACAAATGGTCTGAATTCGACGTATCGATGATAGAGATCTGCGGGGACAGGTCCACGTAACTGCATTTGAACAGATTGGAAACTGGGAGACGGGTTAGTCGGTGGCCATTGACAAAACACTCCACGCGTGGACATACTTGTATCTCTGCACCTCTTTTCCATCTTTGCCTTGCTCTGTATTCTTCGTGCCCGCTATCCGCCCGATCAGAGGAGAGTAATGACGACTCCAAGGCAATGGGCCGATCGTGTATGCGCGACCACCGTCCTCTGCGTCTGTCCTGCCGAGATTCTCAACACTGACAATGAGGCTCCCGTTCATTTTGACTTTTCGCGAGATCAAAGCGGCGCATCCACGCAATGTGTATGCTCGTTTGCTCCCCATGCGCTTCTTCAATTGGAACTTTTGGTGGGAGAACCCCTTCCAACTCTCATCAACGTGGGGAACATCAATGTGAACATTTCCCAGTCGGTCATCGTAATCCGACGGATCCTCGTCGTATAATCTGCACTTGAGGTGGAAGCCACTGGCTGGGATGTTGCCAACAATCCACTCGGTTTCCCATTCTGGGTCCGTGTTGCGGTGGATTGTGGGTGTCCTCAACTTGAGATCAGGATCCTGCTTGTGCCTCTTGGGAAGATCCGTACGCAGAACCGCCAGGACATAGGGATCCGATGACAGAGTGCCAAAGTCGGAAAAGGGCAGATTCTCGGCCTTGTGGAATGTGATCTTGAGAGTGTACCCGGGAGGTGCCTTGGGTAGAGGCGTGTCATCGTACCCGCCAGCAGGACCGTTCTTCTCTTTCTTCTCGGAATCCGTTCCCGTGCCTCCGCGATATCTCTCCTCCAACTTCTCTGTTTTACCGACCAGCTTAGGCCCTATCTTGTCCGCCTGGGAAAGGACTCCGCCATTGCGCAGCGCGGGAATGTTGGAATCGTTGGGATCGTTCTCGGCCATTGGATGTGTGGAAGGGTGTTATCACGCGTATCCGCGCCAGCATATGTTGATGACTGTATGTGACCGAGGTAAACACTCGTGCGCACACCCCGGAAAAACAAGGATATGGTAAATTGTACTTTGACAGTTTGGGAGAATCGAGGAGGGAGAGGAAGGAAGAGCGCAGGTCGAGGGCCAGGGATTTGTCGGCGGATAGTTTAGGAGTTTTGTATCTGGCAAAGGAAGATTTGAAGGCGCATGGATCAGCTCAGCATGGGGTGATGGTCAAGACTCGAAAGAAGGCCCCCACCACCTGTTCTTGAACTTGTCTTTGCAGGATTATGGACGATGGCAGATGGCACTATGACCCTCGTCAGCTCCAATGAAAGGACTAAAGTACTTGGGACAAGTATACAATAGACTTCTGGTTCCTCTGGAGACTTCACCCCGACTGGCACCGACTGGCCACCACCTCTCCCACCCACCCACTGACCCGCCCGCCCGTGCTACCCAACTGTGCATCAAGCAAAAAACATGGCCTCAAGCCTAGAAGCTTAAGCAAAAGCTTGGCCACCAGCCGACGATCAATTGCCAGTTTCTGGCTTTGGATGCAATGAGTGACGCGCAATCGTGAGGCCTAAGCTGTCCCCCAAAGGGAATACATCGAGATCGTGTTCCCATCAATCGTATGGAACGACTACTGAGGTTAACTACTGTACGAGTCCAAGATGCCTTAGGGCTGGAGAGTTCATAGTCCACGATTAGGTCTTTCATTTCGGTTACTCCCTCCTGGACCAAGCACCACCTCAGCCCCCAAGCCCCAAGAAAGCCACCAGGGGCCGGCATCAACCAGTCGAGTAAGCAGCCTAGAACAATAATCCAAGACAAAGGCTCCTTCGCTCCATGCAAATCCATTGCCGCGCCATGCAAAAACCAAACACAGAAGTTCATTACTGCCTAATTCTTCTTATTCTTCAAGTAGCCTCAACAGCAAATCCGAGCCTGGCCCCGTCAGGCTATCTCGCATCTCCTTTTCAGACACGGCGCTTACCACCTGTTTGTCGTCCATCGCTCGTCCGCTTCGAGATGGCGTGTTGGTTGGTGTCAACAAGCCAGAGCTGCGCCCAGACGCCTCCTGCACTAACCCCAAGGTTTCGAGGCTGGCAACCACGTCTCGAAATTCGGTATTTTTGAGCGGCTGTAACAGTCCATCATCACGCTTACATAGCTGAGCATACTTTTCAAACAGACTCTTGATCGTAGGAAGCCTCGATCCGGATTTGGACGGGGTGGTATAGGGATCTCGGCGGTGTTGACGGGCTTCGGAAGCCACCAATGAGCACAGCACAGCCTTCTGTTGGAGATTCAAACCGCCCAAGCGAGAAAGAGTACCGTTGTTGAAAATGGTCGCCGCAATCTTGGCCACGTGTGCAATAGACACTTTTGGCGCCGTCTCCCAGGTAAGATGATTGAGGACTGACCGCTCATCCCTCCTGACTGGAGATGGAACAGTCTGAGTAGAGGCCACATTGGAAATCTCTTGGAGTGGTTGCTTGGTCGGCGTCACACTCTGTTCTCGACTCATCTTCAAGAGGGTTTCTTGCTCAACCTGGTCAAGTGCACGACGAACCAGACTAAAGGCCTTTCGTAGATCTCCTGTCTGAGAAGATATCTTCTTTCCTGCCAACTGAATCGCCGCGGGATGCATCAGAGGAATGGAGCCAGTGCCGTCCGCGGTTTCATTGGTTATGAGAGATCGTAGTTTATCTGAGACGATGGTAGAGATCTGTTGGGCGGAATATGGCAGGAAAGGTAGCAGTTGGGGCTTCAGATCCCTCAGCTTCAGCCGTGGCAGGAAGCGATCAGTCAAGTCCAGAGCGTTGGCAATCCCAATCAAGATGAGAGTGGATGAAGGGTGCATAGCCCATTCGAAGATGCTGTACAACATCTCGCAATCACCCCCAAGGAGTGTGTCGATTTCGTCAAGCAAGACGAGACGCATCTCAGACTTGGCCTTCTTTGTCGTGAACAATTTCGCCAAGGCAGCTTTGGATGACTTTGAGCTTCCATTGCCAGGACAAAACACCTGGCTCAAACGCGCGAGGACTTCAGTGGAAGACTTCAAAGACACGCAATTGATCGTGGTGCTTGTGACAGATCCGGCTTGAAATTCTTGCATGATCTCCTGGACCAAGGCACTCTTACCAGTGCCAGGTGGCCCACTAACATATGTGCAGCCTCCGAGACGTG